TCAATACGCGAACCTTGTCATTTTTTGACGCTTGTAGAAAAAGTTACTTCTCCAATGTTTTATCGAATTTTCTCTCTATATCTCTACAATTAGAAATATACTCAAATATTATTTCAATAATGTGTAGTAATTAGTGTAATTGCAAATCAGATGATCTACCCCAAATTGTCACTGCATTGGAAAATTTCACTATTAGAATACCTAAAATAAAAATGCAATCCATAGTCAGTGACACCTTGGTTGGAACCATGTTCAAAGAGAGGAGTATTATATCCAAGATATATCAAATTTCCATTTATTTCATGTTATTCTTATGAACAGATCATCTTCATTTTTATCGAATAGAAAATTATCTTTTTTGGGGGGTACGTTGCGTTCGGCCCAATTTTCGATTCGCCCAATTTTCGATTCACCCAATTTTCGACTAACACTAACGGTAAAAGGACTAAACATTCCTTACCCTATGCAGTGACAATAAAATCATTTCAAAATATCATTCAGGAGTGTATAATACAGTGTATACTCTTTTTGTTGAACTCTCCGTTTCCGAGTAAATGATTATTCAAAATCGCAAAAATGCTGTTATTATATTATATTAGGTTAGTTTTCCTGTTAAAGAATTCCTCATATGATTTCAAGAAAAATCCGTCCACACAAAGTGTCACTGTTCATGTATACCCAGAGAGTTAGTATCTGAGAATACTTTTCATATTTCTCAAAGTATAGTTATTTGTTTTACTAGGCAGCAAAGTAGTAGATTGACTGCCGCGGCTGATAGTTCATAGCCGAGCGTAGCATGGCTAGAAATTCAGCAAAGACAGTTAATCTATATTTGCCGCGGAGTGAAACATATAATTTTTTCTCCAAAAGTTATAAAACCAATTCTGTGTAATTTTTGTATTGAAAACTCTATCATTTTGTATTCACCCAATGTCAGTGTAAATTTTGAATACAAATTTCACTCATATTACTTGGGACGATGCATAGCAACAAACTTTTGCTGCCTATACAGAGGAAGTACACCTCTCCTGCCTGTTGAGTGTCATAGAAAAGCCACTTGCCCACTTGATTTACTTGATTTGTCCTCACTACAAATATATTAAAATAACACTCATTTTCCTTCATTGAAACGAGGAGAGAAAATCCCAAAGAATCTAGTGAAATGAAAACTATAATGAAATAATGAAAATGAAGACATTTCAAACATATATAAATAAAAAAGTATGATTTTAATAATTTAGTAAGGAAATGTTCAGATAATCTTAATTTGTGGGTGTGTATTTTCTTTATATTGTATTGATCTTCTGTTTTCCTTACTGAGAGAGGTTGGTTCCGCCTGTATAATACTTTCCATAAATACAAAGTAAGTTTTCATCCGAAACTTATCACCAACACGTTTTATTATTTCAGATAAGCTAGGAATGTATGGTATTATATTTTTGTTGTTAAAAATGGTTGTTTTTCCTGTGGTGTCTTTGTTTGCGAATCCATGTGCAGGTAAGGTGAGATTCCTTTCTTGACACCGGCATTTTCTATAATTTTTCCATAATTCCTCACAGGAACAATGTCTCATGTCTAATGATGGCTGTAGTACCGAAACTAGTAACATTATTTTGGTTAATATATAGAGTGATTCATGAGGAGTATCACATAGTAAAACGAGAGATAGAGGAAATCAAGACAAGTTTATGTGTATATGAAAAGTTTTTTTGTCTATCTATCTCGCTATCTACACTTCTCCAAGAAATTAACGCATCACCAAAAAGTAGCCAAAAGTTAGTAAAATTTTCGTCAAAACTACTTGTCTGATTTGGACGTTTTTTGTTCTGAATGACAGGTTATTTCCTTCTGACTATTGGTGTTCAAACTGTATTTGCATAAGAACCTCTTTTTATGGATACCGGGTGTAGCAATTATAGCGCGTCTTTTAGATTAAATTTGTAATACCCTGTGGAGTGTAACAGTTACGTTATCAAGTTGAAATTTCTTTTTCAACATCATGAATCATCAGGATCATGGCACACTCCCATTTTGTCTATATTTTCAGAGATAAGTGATTGGAATTTGAAATAAGTCATCAGCTAGATAAATATCCCGTTTTGACATAAATATATCTCATTTTCCAATTCCGGAGTCACTGGAAGTGCTTATAACTTTGATTTTCAAAGGGAAACCTGTATCTGAATCCAATAATTAGCACATAAGTAACATTTCAAAATTCATTATTGATATTCATTTAATTTCCGATTTTCCATCTGATAGTGGAGTGATCATCATTATTTTGATCCTCATCAGGTGTTATGCCAGAAAAAATAAATTGGATATTAGGACTAATACTTTTTTATGGATCCATGGTACCTTTCTTTAGTATTTGCTATGAGGAGTTCATTCATAAAAGCCATGTTGAAATTTGCTATGAAAATAGTCGAAATTACGGTAGACAAAAAAAATAGGTATATAATCTGACATTGACATAGGAACACAAAAAGATGGAAAATCAAAAATGAAATTAAAATCAAATTGAACTAAGTGTCACTCATGTGATATTATTGGATTTAGAAAATTACGCAGAATTCGAAAATGCAATAAAATACAGGGTGTTCTATCTGATAATCGAAAGAAATTACCAGTTTCCGATGAAACCGGAAGTGAAAAATAAAACATAATTATGTCAAAACGTAACGTTTATCAAGTTGATAGGACATTTTGAATTTCATTCACTTTCCTCTAAAGCCAAGTCTAAAACTAAAGGAAATGAAGGAGGTGCACCATGATCCTGTTACACCTGGTATATCACAAGTATAAAAATCATAATTTCAAATCATTATAAATTAGCAAATGCAAAAGAAAATCAGCTAAACCTCAAGTTACCTATTGTATCAGCGAAACTCATAGTGTTTTTGAAAATATTGTGGTAATTTTATCATTTGTTAAGTTTTTTACATTAAGATATAATAGATTTTGGTAGTTTATTGTTTAGGAATATCGTTTTGCGCATGGAGTATAGGGGTGAGGTGAAGTAAGAAGGTGTACTGCTACCAACAAAAGTTTTGTAAAATAAACTAAAAACTATGGTTATTATTTTCTGTTGATTTTATGGGTTGATGGAAGAGGAGTTTTTCAGAAATGACTGGTAAGAAATGTAGTGTGGAGAGTTGAGACTGTGAAGGTATGATGATAATATGAGTGCAAAATAGGTTATATCAGTTTTTGAAAATATAGATATCAGAAATCAGTGGGCCAATATTATATCAGCAGCCAGACTTGAACACAAAATCCCAATCTAGAATATGACATGCCTCATGATACAGATAGTTTTCAAAACGATACAAAGAAAAGACTTCAGAAGATATAATGATAGAATTTTTCTTTTGCCCAGAATGCTGGCAGCCACCATCAAAAGAGTATAAAATTGTTAATCATTCTCACAGTATGAAAATGTATGTATTGAAATATTTATGATGATTTGTGTATGATTGCTACAGTGGTTAGAGTTGCAGCACATATTATTGTCTGATAGTTCAAGGATGAAAATGACCAGTAGGTAGTAATACTATCCTGGTGGATCTATGAAGCATTTTGCGAGTCCCAAGGTTCAGGAAGACGAGAATTTTGTATATAAAAATTAGAATAAGAAATTGGCACCTAATAGTGTTCACTGCTTGATCTTGGCCAATAGAAGTGTGCTTTTTCTTACTTTTTAAACAAATTTTCGTACTTATTATGTATGTACGTATTTCTCTGAACTCTTTTTCATCAACAATTTGATGTTTAATATTCATTATTTGGGATTCCAGACCAGATGTTGAAGTTTTCAAAATTTCATGTTTATTTTTCGGAAACTCTAACCCTAACGTGTTGGCATCTGTCATCAATTCAAATTATACCTATTAGTTCCGTTCATATTTGTAGCTAAACTTGCTGAAATTGAATTTTTTCTATTGTTATCTCTGTTCATTGCAAAATGTAAACAGAGAAAGTCATAAAAACAACACAAGTTCCGCAAGTTGAGTGAACACAATCGAAAAGGCCTAATTTATTCCTAAGCTGACAACCCTGAATGCCCGCATGTGACGTCATCAGAAAGAATTCAAGATGGCGGGTATGTGGTAACCCTGTCAGTATAATATATAAATATAATAACCCTGGTAGCAACAATTTTTTTTGTGTAAAACTTGTGTTTTGATAAAATGAATTCCTCTTCTACATCAAAGATATAAGTAATCCACCATCCATCACATCTTCTGATGAAGTATTAGACGGTTTTTCCCATTCAAGGAAAGATCTATCAGTTCCATTTGCAAACTATCAAGCTTATGTCTTCAGTCGGATAATAATTTTTTGACCCTCAAAATCGTGAATAGAACCATTAAGAACTTGTACCAATTGGATAACTGTTTTCACACTAGAAGTCTGTATAAAGATTTTAACATTATGGCTATAATGAAAATATTCATTTATCAAAACAAAATTTTTATACAACACAAGAAATTACTCTCAAATAGAACTGACAGCTATCAACACATGAAGGGGAATGAGTTCCATATACTATTAGGGCATGAAATATTATACTAATATACCAGAACATCTTAAGCATCCACCACTCAACCAATTTAAATATGAGATGAAAAAACGGAAGGACAGGGGGAAATAAATTATATATGAACATAAGACTCATACTTCCTTGTTTTTGTTTTCAGTGACTTGATATAGGTATAAGACGGGTTATATATATATATTTTTTTTATGTATTTTTTGTGATAGTAATTTTTCAAGTATAACAAAATCAAATTATATGTGATTTATGTTATGTAGACGACAATGTATCAGTAAGTAGAGTATTGCAGAGTGTCCCTTCATGAACTTGTACTAGTTTTTTGGAATTAATATAGAAAAAAAAATTGTTTTGTATTCATTCAACATTTACACCGGCCACAAAGTACATCGATCCATCGGGCGATCGCCTCTCAGTCCGCCTCTGGCTAAAAATAACAACTAACCTGTCTCAACATATTGTTATTCCCAGACGACGATGCGCTCGCTTTGGGCGGCTCCGAGGGCCCCGCCAAAGGCCTGCCCGGCACGCCCCTGGGACTGCCCCGGCTATCGTTTCGCCCGCCGTCCTCGTCCTGCTGGTTCAACAGCTCCTTCAGTATCCTATCCTTGTTCTTGTCGTCGTTCTCGTTGTTATTGTTCTGCGGTTTGGTCAACAGAATTCTCAACCTGTTCGACTCCTCCAACACGTTGGCTTTGGTATCTTTCTGCTCCTCCATCGCGTACCTACCAAACGCCGTTTTACTTTTCATTGTACCATTTCAACAAATATAATATGCGCTAGATATAAAATGTCTCATGTATTCAAGTTAGTGAAATGTGTATATTTCATAAGCCGAATGATTGAATAAGAATGATTCATGCACTTTTTCGGTCGTTGTTCATCTCAAAAGAACCCAAAAATTTAAAATTGCAACTTATGAGTACAGTAGATTGATACGTCAAATTACTTTTTATTGTACTAAATGAGAACAAATTGAAAAAAATCCGATTCATGAGCCAACTTATCGCAACAAAAATTTTTATTCAACAAACATTTGAAATCATCAACTAGGGAAAAAGCCAAATACTCAAAGTGTAATGCAATGGTCACAAAGAGAGAGAAACTCAGTCATTAGAGTCCGACCACGTTAACTTTGGGACAGCATGTGACGCAATGCATATGCATATTCAATGCATACGCGACCACGTGCTGTCCCAAAGTTATCGTGGTCGGACTCTACCACACTAGTTCATAACATTAACGAAAATGGTAGATAACAAGAGAAAAACAACTACTTGCTTGGCTATATGCCACGCAGAACATTGAATTACATCCTCCCGAAATCTATGCAATAGTTCGTATAGACGAATAAAATCGCAAGTGTTTCCTTCCTAAACGCTGAGCTCCGCCTCACTTTTACTAATTTTCTAGTTTCAATTTAACATTTTTCAGTTTTCTGATGCAATTTTTTCAATTAGTGAATGAAGAATTTATTGATTATTACAAAAACACATGGGTGGGAAAGATGAACAGGAGAATTAGAGCTGAACCCATGTTTGACTATTCTCTTTGGAGCTGCTTTGAAATTATTCTTCAGCAATCACAATTGACCAACAACGCCGCTGAATCGTGGCATAGGGGATTTTTATCCCCTATTGACGCACAAAAATCATCTCTCTGGAATTTTCTGGACAAAATCAAGAAGGAACAATGCTTGACGGAACTTAAAATTGCGAAAGCCATTTCTGGAGAGGAACCCCCACGAAAAAAGTATGAATCTTTGGACCAGCGACTACGCAATATATGTTCATCATTTGACGAAACATGTGATGATGATGAATTGATTGGTTATTTGCAGAATATTGCACATGTTTTGTAATGTTACCTATTATGTTGATGTATTATTGTGATAATTAACCCGCGAGGGACCGCGCGGGGTAGAAAATACCCCAGGCGATATCAAATTACGGTTTTTTTGCTTAATCTGCACGGCACTGAAAAATCACACCAGGTCAGTGGCTAAATATAATCAATTAACAAGTCTTTGCTTGTGTTTCGTCATTAGTTCTGTACACATCCTAGTAAACATTCCTGGGGTATATCCTTACCCCACGCGGAGAGAATTGAAATCTTCTATATCTGAATTCGTGTCGGTACAAATGGGGATTCAACCTCAAAACGAGCAGCCTGCATGGTAGTCAAATTTTCATATTATCCAAGAAGAAAAAAAAAGAGAAACAATTAAAAAAAAGGACGTGCATATATTATTTATGCGTTCGTTGAAAATCATTATTCAATTGGAGTATATCAATCAAATTGAGTTCTTTTTTTATTATTGCTGTTCGTTTGTTTTATTGTTGTTGAAAATTATGCAATTCCACATCGGACAAAGAATTTTTTCGTCTCAAAGTCCTTAAATTCAATCATAACCAATGGGGTAGATTACTACCCCACGCGGTCCACGTTTAAGTTTCTATCGGCGCGGTCCCTCGCGGGTTAAACTTGTTTTCGAAAAATTGTTGTTAGAAGATAATGTTTTTCGAAAATTAGTTTTCGAAAATAAGAATATTCGAAACTTTGTTCTTTCGCAAATAATTGTTTCGGAGAAATTTCCGTTCGAAAGTTTTTTGTCGAAAAAAAGTTTTCCGAAAAAAATTCCGCGACCCGTTCCATACGTACCCCTGGTCGTTCATCGGACTGAAGGGAAAGTTGTTGTAGGCGGGCGTGGGCGGGTTGGGCACCGCGGGACTCGGCTGGGCGGCGAAAGGCGACGACTGCCCCGCCGTGGGCGCATTCCCGTAGGAGGGGTTGCTCGGCGGTCGCGGGGTGGGCGTGACGCTGTGCCGCGAGGCCGGCCTGGCCTCCTGCCAGCTGGCCGACTCCAGCTCCCAGGTGGACGACGGGAATATGTCGAAGTTGAATTCGTTGTCGAGCGCGAAGGTGGCGAAGGTGGGATTGGGGTGCAAGATGGCGGCGGCACTGTCGTTGACGGGTGGGCCGTTCCTGGTGCCGTTCACCACGCTGGTCATCAATGGCCCGCCGACGCCGGTGTTGGAGGCTGTGCTGGTGCCGCCTCCCGGATCCGTCGGACCGCCTGTGTCATTCTCTCTGTGGAAGAAAATATTCCTGTAGCTTAGTAACTTATAGCTAGAGTCACTAGATGGTGTTAGTTAGGGTCCCTTGATGTAAATTGACGTATTTGTTATTTTAACAGGGTACGGAGAGATCCTCGTCTCCTCTCACTCTAAAGTGTTTGTGAAACAGTTATATAGTTCCATCTTTATTCATTTCTGGGGACAAACACTAGATTTCTGACATTTGTTGTTCTTTAGGTTATATTGAGGACATTGGCGTATCATACCTAATTTTCAGATGTAATTTCTCATTCAACTCTACATATTATATCCAAATGATGATGATAATTTTCGAGTTTTTGATTTTTCAACCCCAGCATAATCTTTGTGAGGCAGTTAACCAAATGGGACTGTTCTTAGGCAGTACCTATCAATAAATGAATTTTGATTTTAGACTAAGCTTTATGGTTGAGACATGGTGAAAAATTGCATGTAGGTATTCATGTTGGGAATTATTTTTGCAGTTTTTCACGAACACTATATATTTCCTGATTGTATGTATAATTTTTTAAATGGTAGAGCATATGCCTCTTCTTTTAATCCTCCGTTTCAATCAAAACTGTTTCTACTAAAATGCATTCAAGAACTTGTGGAGTGGATAATTATAGGCACAATGAGAAAGTATAATATGTGATTTCGTATTAGTTTTACCTCGAATATTTTGCTGATGTATTTACCAATTTTCCCCATTCAGTCACTTCACTTTCCATGTTCTAAGTCATTTGCATTTGATGGAAAGCTGACAAAGTTAAATTTGCCATCCAACTGATTGATACAGCCTAACGCAGCACATTTTACCATCCTTCCAAAACAGAATTGAATAATGTCGTATCAAGATGAAGTATGAAATTAAAATTTTGTAAGATTTCTTTTAACGCCTATGAATGTGTCGTGACAGCAATGTCATGTCAGGGACGCCAATACACGAAACCAAAGTCACTAGATGATTAAAAGAGAAAGGAGCTATGATCTGTCCGTACCCTGTTAGATGACAAATACGTCAGTTTGCATCAACATCAAGGGACCCTAGTGTTAGTTAGATCATTTTCTTCATATGATTTTAAACCAATCCGAGGGGGAGGACAAACTCCAAAATTATGTACTCCAATTGCCAGTTTCGGCATTAAATGCTAGTTTATTGCCGTATGGCCGATATATTTCTGATATTGCCGACTAATGCCTGAATGCTGAAAATTATTATCAATGCCTTATGGCTAATAATGCTCGTTAACAATCATTCTTAAAATATCTTTATTCTGTTTGAAAATACCGTGATTCTTATTTCTCTCTGTGTGTTTCTTGAAATCGGCAAAGAGTAGCTGAAATATCTCAAACAAAAACTACTAATAGCAGATATGAGTATTCCACAAGACGAGCGTCACAAAGAGACGCAGAATTACATTTCCTTACGTGTTACTTGGGATATTTATTTCAATTTTGATAAAAAAGGATTCATCGGAATGACGAAATCGCCGATATCATTGAAATCACGTTTATCACAGTTTAAACTAGTTCGAGAATTTCCTTCATTCGGTAGGATATCGAGTCCACCGACATAACCTACTATATAGACTAATATGTCTCAACAATCCGAAAAACTCATCCAAATCAATCACCCGAAAACGCTTCTGCACATGGATCCAAAATGACATTCATGACATCAACTTAATTATAACACTTTGTCTTAATGATCAGGAGTGAGAGTCGAGTAATATCCAGGGTCCCACCGATTTAGAAGGGACAGTATTGCAATTTCCTAAACGGTAAGAGATAGATATTTGAACAAATTAGACAAATGATGCGTGATTTGAACCTCTTCAATCTGGCGTTTCGCAATTTTGAAAAATGTCAGCCGTTCCAGAAATATTTTGGAAAAACTGAAATACACTGATTTTGTCTAATTTAATCAACTTTGTATCTCTTACCATTTAGGAAATTGCTATACTGTCCCTATTAAATCGGCGGGACATTAGTCTTATGATATTTGATATTATCGGTGTAGATCGAGGTGTAGATAGGTTAGGTTGGTGATTGAGTCTGACAATGGCATTTCTGGTGGCAAAAGTACTTTTCACGTCTAGTTGAAAAATGTTCCACTTCATGCTACCGATTATGGAATGTAAGAGTAGTACGTTTCAGAACTTCAGGTCTGGAAGTGTCTCTTTATGATAGTACGTCAAAATAGGAAAAATAATATTAAACCTTCATATCAAAACAAAATGTCCACCACTTATACACAATGAGGAATAATTTCACGACACGTCTACACACTTCACGTTCAATAGATATCGATGTATTATAAATATTTGGAGATATTTGTTTTCAATTACCAGCACTATTTGAACGAGAGAGATTACAGTCCTGCTCAGTAGAGTTGTATATGTTTGAATTTGGGAACAAATCATTAGCGAATAATCTAACTGCAAGGAAAAAAATATTCAAACTGTTCAGAGCATTTCAAAATTGTCGATTTCTCTGATAGTATTCAAAGTGACTCTGAGATAAGGCAATAATGGTCTAAATAAAGAAAGATAAGAAGCAGAGAGGGCAGTTTTATCAGACTATGCTTGTCAGTTAGAATTCAGATGTACACATGAGTACTCACAAAACGCATTTTATCTACTACCTACTCAATTATATTTTTACACAAACATATTATTTTATACAAGAGGTAGAAAAAAGTTGCTGAATCTCAACACAACAAAGTAATATGGCGCCTTACTGAACGTTACTGAATCATAATGACATCATTAATATATTTTGAACATTCAAAATAATATGAATATTGCGGACTGATGCAAAATTTGTTACTTGAGGTTTCAGAGTTATTCCCTAAAAAAAGGTATGTGCTTTGAGTGTTATCAACTGTATGTTCAGTAAGAAGGAAATTATCTAATACCATACAAAAAAATTCAAAAACGACACATAGGTCGGTATATGCTCAGCCATTATAGTGTAAAAAATAGAAATATTATGCTCTATCCGGCTCAATCTATCGAAACAGAGGAAAAAGCTGATATATTGAAAAAACAATGAAAAGGTGATTTCACACTTGAGTAATTCATCAATATCTAACCCAAATGAAATCATTTATTTTCTACACACTCCTAATCACTATGCATCAATCAATTCCATGCTCTTTGTCTAATTTTTGAAGAAAACAAGAACTCAAATTCAAAGATGTGTCATGAGTAGGTACTTGATGTTAAGTAAATTCCAGTTTGATCAGTACCTACCAATAATAAACTCCAGCGCCATGCGCTTTTGTATTTGTATTCCGATAATCATCAAAATTTGGAATATATAAGAGAACTCTCTTCCTCTCTCCTCCTCTCCTAATCCTTCCTAGGTACGCACGATGTTCTTCGAATATTATAGGAATTTTCTTTCGGGCGCTCCAATAGATAAAAAAATATTTATTGATATTTTTTCTGGTATGTCAATTACTAACTTCTATCCACCTTGTTTGAAATTTAACATTGTTCGAGAGAAACAAAACATATTGGTGCCTCTCCATACTGTCCATTAAGTATTGTATCCCTAAACATTTTCATATTGAGGTAATATGATTCAAAAATTTTTCTAGGTCACCCAGTAAATTTTCTTGCACGTCGGCCTCTTTTATAAAAATAAATAATTGTACCTACTGAAAGAATATTTGGGAAAAGAGATGGAAATAAAATTATACAACTGTTGGTGAAATGAGTGACAGATTTAGAAATGAATAATTTCTTCACACTTCCAGGAGTAAAGAATGTCTTTCAGTCCTTCCAAATAGGGACTAAAGTGACCCACAAACTGATAAAGTGATCAACTGATAGGTACTTATCATTAATCATTTTTTTATTTAGCCCAGCACTGTAAGTTCAACATTTTTACGAGATGCCGATTTTGACAGAAAAAGCCTTGGATAGAGCCAATCATTTGAATGATATATTATATTCCTAGTGTAAATAACAAAATGACGAGGGGTAAACCGCAGTGGAATTATGGTGTACAAATAACTCAAATTCCTTGGAATTTCCAGGATTTCCTTGGAATTCCTTGGGTTTTCTTGGAATTCTTTGGAATTTCTTGGGTGAAGTGTAGTAAATTTCTGGTCTACAAACAACTGGAATTACTTGGAATTTCTCGGGTTTCCTAGGAATTCCTCGGATTTCCTTGGAATTTCTTGGATTTCCTTGGATTTCTTTGGAATTCTTTGGGTAAAGTGCGGTATGATTCTGGTGTACAGGGTATCCCACAAAACATGGGCCAGCCCATTATCTAGTAAACTGAGAATTTCAAGAGATACGAACAAAATTGGGAATCTGAGTTGTTTATAGTCATATGATTCCTCTTTTTCAGATATTGTCAACTATACCGGATTATCCATATACAAATTCAATCCTCAATTCCTTTTAAATATATTCTAGTGGCCCATGTTATGTGGAATAGCCTGTACAAACAACTGGAATTTCCTTGAAATTCCTTGGATTCCCTTAAAATTCCTTGGATTTCCTTGAAATTCCTTGGATTTCCTTGGAATTTTCTGGAATTCATAGGAGTTTCTTGGAATCCCTTGTGTGAAGTGCTGTATGATTCTGGTGTACAAACAACTGGAATTTCCTTGAAATTCCTTTGATTTCCTTGAAATTCCTTGGATTTCCTTGAAATTCCTTGGATTTCCTTGGAATTTCCTGGAATTCCTAGGAGTTTCTTGGAATCCCTTGGGTGAAGTGCTGTATTATTCTGGTGTACAAATAACTGGAATTTCTTGAAATTCCTTGTGATATGAAGTTTGGTGTACACAATTCTGACCGCGGTTCACCCCTCGCAAAATACTATCAAATTGTTCATAACTTACCCAATGATCGAATGTGTGGACATAATGAAGTCGGTGTCGTTAGACAAATTAGTTTTGAATAATTTTGATTTGGTTTGCACTTGTATCGATTTGTCTTGTCCGATCTGGAGCCTATAAATCGCACTAGTCGACTGTCCCGAAGTAAGAGTCTCCCGCAAATGAACGTTAATTTTATTAAGTTCTTGTTGGTGCACCAGTTCCCTCAAACTTCTGTTTTTCAGTTCATTATTCAGGTACTGAGCTATCACATCCGCTACACCCGAAGTGTCCACACAAATCACTTTACCAGAAGTGTCCAGCTTCGTGGTAAATTGTTCGATACTACAATTCGCCTTGTCTCTGTGAGATATCCTCGACGCTACGCAGAGCAAACACGGACCACTATCACTACCGTCCTCCTCTGACACCGACAGCTGATCTCTTAGCTGGGTGCTAGAGATGTGCATCAACTCGTATCGGCTGACCCTCTGCTGCTTCTCCTCCACACTTTCGTCTAGGTCGTCAGGGGGCTTTATGAGCAGTCTGATGTCTATCGACTTGGACCTGTTGGTGATTTGTTGCTCGCTACCCCACTCGATGGTCATAGGCAGCAGATTCGTGTGGAACTTGGCGTGGTCGCCATGATGGATGAAGTTGTAGATACTCTTTCCTAACACATCTTCTCTGGTGTACTTGATGTAGGTGCATACATTTTCAGTAACGTGTTCTACCTGTAAGAAATAAAAATATGAATGGAAGACAGTGTAAAATGAGGAGTTGACTGCACACCATTGAAGGAAAACCATTCAACATGTTGGGCCTTCTCAAAAGTCCTAATATAATATCTCCTACGAGTCCTACAGAAAACTTACCACAATGATACTCTTTCTATTTGAATCCTTGAGTCCAAGGCGAAGCTATTTCAGATAAAAGATCCCAGATAGTGGAAATCGAAGTGCAAATTGACTTTTTCATTTCCCTCATCACCTCATCGATAAAACTATGATTCGATGATATATGTGCCCAGTGAATCATTAATTAGAAGGAAAGCTCTTGTTGTTTCATGGAGGTCTTTCTGATCTCCAACCAAATGAATCTATTGGGAAAAATTCAAAACCCTCATTATTTCTTTTTTTATTATCTCTTGAAAGGCACGTGCGTGCATACTGGGGATAGGGAGAGAAAGTAGGTGTCGGATTTTTTTTTTCAACTTTTGGAGGTCATAAGTTCTTGGAAATACTTCCTAAGGCAAAGTATGCCAAAGCATTGCATTGCCGTTCCATAAACAATTATGTTTTGGAAAAGAGTTGTTCGACATAATTCGAGGTTGACGACAAAAGAATGTTCTGACTGGGTCTGTCGAGTACTTCTGACTGGTATTGCTAGTGATGGAATGATTTCTGAAGAACATTTCACATTGAAGTATCTATAGGAAAGGGAAAAGTCGTCTACTTTTCTACGGTGTTCCAATGATGTTGAAGAATTAGGCGAATGGCTCGTCTGCTGAACCCCCTATCTAAGAACATTATTCCGAAAACGCCTAATAAGCCATGAAACTCGTTACGTTAGTACCTTGGATATGAACCATTAAGGCATTTTCGGAAACTTACTCGGGTTGATCAGATCCCTAACCTGAACGTTTGGTTACCTAAACCGAGTCACCTACTTAGGAAACTTAGGTGTTGCTCGATCACTGATTTTTCGTGACCCACTCACAAGCAGGGTCGCCAGAGTCGCAAAGGACACCATGCGCATTACCAATTTATACAAAATTTATGTCAATCCAAAAACGCGGGAGTTTGCCACCCCACGACAACAATATAATAATAAAATAGTTTGCATGTTAGGAAAAATTTCGATCGGTGATATGAGATTTCTTTGTGATCTCCATGATTTGATTTAGTTATTCATAGACAAGAGAATTTGGGTAGAATGTGAAACAAGTTCACCAATCTAAAACATTGTTCTAACGTGTTCTTATCCATCATTCGGTTGCCCCCTTACGAGCAACCCTCAGAAGTCTTCAAGAGACTTGTGCGAGCAAGGAATGACGGGGGTCTCACCTTTTAATGTGTGATCCCAAACATTTTCTTAGGCCATCAGAAAAATTTCTGCGGTCGTGGTGGGAATCGAACGCTTCAACCACGAGGTTACGCTGGCCACACATCACCAGGTTAATATAAATATTTGTTACCATATCAAATAAGTACTTGAATATAATGTGAACATTTTCGTATGTCAAATTCACTTTCAATTCCTAACCTGACACGGTCGTAAACGTTGAACACGAATGGTAGGTGATCTGAGTTTTTTCTCAGGTGACCTCTCTGGATCGAGTTAACAACCCTGAGTAAGTTTCCGAAAACACATTTGGAATCCCTCTTTTAGAATTCCAAAGTCTCAGATTATTTAGATGATGAAATGAAAATATCCTAAATCAGGTGGGCACTTCGAGGGCGCAAAATCATTACTGCATGGGAGATACCCTTCAGATTTTTAGCTATTCAGTGACTTGACCACGAATGACATTCCGGAAACGGCAGCCATTTGGAGGTCTAATGTCGTCACTTTATTTAATCTACTCACTCTAGTTTGTACTATAAAAGTATGGAACCAAGTAAATATCTTTTAAATGAAAGCCAGTGTGTGGGAATAAATACGTTGTCGAAGATACCTTCAAGGCTTCAAGAATTGCGAAGTTTTTGAAATTGGAGGAACCACCGCTCTACACCGGTCACTGCCTGAGAAGGTCTTCGGCGACTCTTTTGGCCAATGCAGGGGCTAACATGACTACTTTGAAGCGTCACGGAGGATGGAAGTCCTCGACGGTAGCAGAAGGATACCGAGAAGAATCGGTGCATAACAAAATACAAATTGCAGAAAAAATTCAAGGTTCTCATGTGTCGGCGTCTTCCAGCACTAATCAGCAGCTGTACCGATATGGGAGCATATTATAGTTCCAATGAACCAACGAATTTTACAATGGGCTTATATCACAAAACAATTTTATTTCATAATTCGATAGAACTCACCCAAACTAGCTCACCACCGCAAACACATCACAGTTGAAAGAATTAATATATCAGTTGCCTCAGTCTCCGTCGGGCGTTTGGTATTTTCTTTTAACTATGCCGAGATGAGGTTTCTACGTCATAAGAGGGTCCGTTTTCAGAAGGTACTATTATTTATGTCCAAAAATAAAACATTCCAGTTAATTTTTCGATCAAATTATGTCGTCAATCATTATTTATGTATAAAAGGATCATTATAAACATGGTTTGAGTTAAAAGTTCTACTAAGGTGTACACGCCCATTACTTCAAATTCGAATGAACCGTTAGCGTTTTCCTTTAATTTCAATATCAATGTGAATCCTGCTCGTAATAGTAATATATAAATAGAATACCACTTTAAATATGAACACTAGTGTGTTCTCTGATAGTTTACTTGTCTAAAATGACATTAATAATGACAGTCATAACTGTCATGTGCTGGATAATAGTATATTATTCAACGAGCCAATAATGATGACTACTACCCACGAAGATGAAAGCTGCAGTACGAGCCGAAGGCGAGTGCTGTAATCATCTGAGTTGGTAATAGTCATTATGTGCGAGTAGAATACTATACTTTATCTACAACTATTCATTTACCAAAGCAACTCTGAGAGTTCAGAAATATATCTTTGGAAATAATGAAGGTTATATTATATTGCAAAATCACTAAATCTGATTTGAAATACTCACTAATTCCATCGAGAACTTATTGACAGAAATTTCAATCAACGAACAAGCTTATAACTTATTTCAATAATTTTGATTATGAAAATATGATAAACAATATTGGATCTAACTTTTATTAACAGGAAAAAAGTCGTGCAATCACATATTGCTAAATCTTACCATGTATTATATGCTTTTCACTTTTCAGTTGTAAAATGAATCATACTATTGCAGATTATTCATTAACTTGCTTCCGCTGTAGCATTCCCCCACCGCAATGATTAATTGTAGAACCCTGTCTCTAGACGCTAGTTATCAACAATGAAGTTCCATGGTTCTGATTGGTCTGTACTAATCTATTCGAATAGCCCGCACATAAGTGTGAGCCAATCTGCAACTGTCAAGTGTCAAGTCCAATTTTATGGTTATGGTTACTCATGATGGTGATCAATGTTGAGAATGAGAAACAGTGAATTCTCATTTTTCCGTGTATTTGTAGAATCAAGGTGATTAAAACTATGAGAACCATGTAAGGTGAGTCTTTTGAATTTGCGTGTATTTCACAAACAGTAGTAAAGTGGTGTGCTTTAGTAGAACTAGTAGAACGAATACACCTAGTTGAATTTGACAAGACGATGGGATGTCAGATTATTACGCCAACCCACTGTCATTATTACTCTTATTACTCGATTCATCACAATAATGTCTGTCATTAAATGTTGAAAATCTAGTTAGCAATGTATGAATGACTCCATAGTTGTAGATAAAAGATATTTACTTGGTTCCATACTTTATCCCAACCCTGCATACTATACGAACCTTGCCCTCGTTGTTGACGACGAACAGAAACCCCTCCAACGCCTCCAGCAGCAGCGGCCCGTACACCTCGTTGGAGAGAATCGTCGGCCGAGAAGAGGACACCTCTCCCTGCTGCACGGGGTCCGATTGCGTCGCTGTCTCCTGCTGCTTGATGCTGCGTATCTGGTTGACGGCTTCCTGAAGGATGGCGCACTTGTCTGGCTTCACCGATAGCGAGCTCATGTCCGCGAAATTGGCGGAAATCAGTTCTGCCAACTCCTCTATGTAGATGTTCTCCTGCTCCCGACGACGCTTCTCATTGTTGCATTTGTTACTGGAACAATTAGCTTCGGTCATTTTCACGATAAGAAAATGGGAACTTTGTATGTATGGATGTCCGTTTCGGTTTGGTTCGAGGCACACTGAATTCGTGTTGTATGCTTCCAAGTAGAGTCGAGTGAAAAAGCAAAGTCAGCATGTTCCGTTGAATAGGAGCTGTAGCGGGGGGATATGGCTGCAGAAGTGTAAACTATCGGGTTACAAAGCTCACGTGTGTTATGGTGTTTGATTAAATTGAAAGTTATACAACGCAGAACATATAAAAACAATGGTTGTTTAAGAAATGATAATTTTCTATCATACTTGAATCACTATGACAACATTTTTCGCTTGCTTTATATTGGAGATATTTTATGTACCTGCCTCACTCAAGTTCCCGAGAAGTATTTCGAAATATCATCAAAGAGCAGGTTCAACTTTCTTGTTAATTATTTGAATATCTCCTATACAGGGTTCCGCACAGTATTGCTGTTTCCTAAACGGTTAGAGAAAGAAGAATGATTAAATCTGACAAAAGTTGCATAATATGACGTTTTGCAATTTGAAAAATGTCAAATGTTCTGGAAATATTTTGAAAAAACTGAAAATCACAGATTTTTTCGAAATATATTTTCGTGGTTAATATTGGATTAAAAAAAATTAAATTTTGTGTAAGCAGGTAATTGATTATGACAAAGAAGTTGGGATTGCCAGAAATATTATATCTTCATCATTTTCAGAGATTCACCATGCAACTTTTGTTCTTCTCATGGGCGCAATATTTGTTTTTTATGCCATTGAATAGGGATTAATAATTCCCTTCACAGCTATGTATAACATATTGACATTTCCACATGAAACAGCGCCAAAAAACAGTAAAAATATCTTCAAATGTGATGTGGTAGACCATGATAATAAGAAAATATTGGTCGTCATGACTACAAGTATAAATACTTCTTCATAGCCTTGTATAACACACTACAACGCAACATTATCATGGAGACGAGGAAAATGCACAGAAAATATCAAGGATACACATTTTTCCTCGCATTTTTCGTTAAATAATCAAGAAACGTTCAACTAAAATTCACTTGCCTCAAATATCATATATCTGATTATTTTCACGTTTCTAGAATGAATTCTTATATCAAATCGACAAATTCAATGTTTGAGGAATTGAGGATACGTAAATGTATACAAAGTATTAAGAACGAATCAATGAACATTGATAAATAGTTGATTTTATCATAAAAAATATGACTAAACTAAAACTAATGTCATGACCAAGTCTAACAACTAAATGAAAACCTTCAATCATAGTTATAGCGTTAGATAAATATTAATCCATTATAATCACATAATAGTACGCCTATGATGCTCGTTGTGTGACATTTGACTGAAGTGTTATGTTGTATGTTTTGTGGTCCTGTGAATGAAGGTGAGTAGCCTCGCAGGAGACTGTTATGCACATATTATAATAAAAGGACATTTAGTCTCGTACGGGGTCTCTCGCCTCCATCTCTTTGATTCTGGCGCTTCTCGTAAGAACTTTGTCAGGAAAAGATGTCATTTTTCTTATCTTTTGGAGCAATAAACTAGCACAATGGGTAACAATAGGTAAACTGGTAAATGCATCTTGAATATGTAACAAAAAAATTATATTCCTGATTTTTTTTTGTGCATTTTTCCCATTTTTCCATAAAAATGTAGCGTGTTATTCATGACTATGAAGAAGTATTAATACTGTAGTCATGACGACAGATATTTTGTTTTCCTATTATCATTTATTATTATTTGTAGATTCACGATCAAGAATCGGTACATACAATGTGGCAACGTTGACAACGTTGGAAATATTGGAGCTTTATGTTTTAAAAGAATCTTCAAATCAGAATATCTGTCAATCTCACTGGACTTTAATTGCTTACTTATCGCATTCAATAATACTCTAATCGACACCAATAATATATAAATATGTGATAAATCAGCCTATATACATTTTCGAACAATCTGATTCATTATTCATGTCGTGCATGTTACCTATACTCAATAAGGAAAACTTAATTATTCTTACTCAAATCGGATCATTCAGTATTTTTTTATAGTTGAAAAACAACGCCTTCAATAATTCAAATGGACCTGTCCAAGGTGAATTCGTTCAAATTTTAAATATCATCTATAAAAAAAATAAGGGTTGAGACAATGTTAAGTGAAGTTGGTAAAAGAAAAAATGCAAGGTATCTCGAGTGGGTACGTTTAAGTGTATAGAAGGTACCTAAAACTTATCTTTCTTTTCATTCCACCTATCCTTTTTGAAGATATTACCGTGAATATTATTTCAGAATAATAATGAAATAATAATAATTACAGATAAATATTTTGTTCATGAAATGAATCCATCTCATTTTTAATTATGGATCACTGTTGAAAATAATAGGTCTGTTAATGAGGTTTTCAAAGAAATTATGGATTCGTATGGAGAGTTAGCTATGAAAATCCCTCGGAAAATCCCAGCCTCAGTTTCTGACGTGTAGGAAATCCAATGTGACATAGAGTTTCAACAAGACGGCTGGAAATTTCCTCCTTTTTTTCAACAAAAGCACGGCCCTGCTTTCGGGTTGTAGATATTGAAACAGTAGTCTCATGAAACAATCATATCAAGATTAATTATAATGGTTTGTCTCATCTTTCAAATTTAAATAACTGTCTATTCCACACTACATTAGGATAGTTTTTTCTGTTTTTTAATCCAAAAATATAATTTCAAGATTATTCTGTCAACTAAGCTAATTGAAAGATTCATCTTTGGTGTATAATAATACACTCAAACAAATCTATTACCTGAATGAAGGACATTTTATGAATGTTTATAGCCAGATGATTTCTGTTATTTCCAGATGTACTTTGACATCTGGCAACTATGTGTATCACTCACTGAGTCGTGACGTCAGCAGTTATGTGTGGTAAATTTCGACCGCTTGAATTAGACCGTACCTAACCTCAAAACCACCCAGAAAATTTTTGAAAAATAATGAAATTGAAAGCATCATTGTGGCGATTAAATGAAAATCAAAGAAAATCAGCGTTTTTTTTATACCACTCACAAAAATACTCGCACAAATATTTACCTAATTCCTAGGATCAGTGTAGGTTGGAGTACTTGAGAACAAATTATTTAATTATGACCATCATTGATCGATAATGGCTTCCTACTCTTCCTAGACCACCCGTAAACGTAAAACTGGTAACAAGTAAACGAATCCGTCATCATAGTGCGACTCAAGCGAACGAAACTTGCCGATGCAGCATTTCTTTATCGCACTCGAGTTGCCCAACGCTGCGTTTCATACGTTTGAAGAGAGATATAATGCCTTCCTAGAAATACCGGGAAGCGTATATACGTTGGTATATACTTGTATGCACAAAGGCAGGAGAAGCGTTTGACACAGTGGAAGCCGATTATGTTCCATCTCTAGGAGGTATTGTTTGCTTTTGTGGACGTGTGCATTATTCTGCTCGTGTAAGACTTAGATATCCTTTCATAATATACAACGTCCTAAAAAATAAATGACCTCAAGTGTATGTCATCGTCTATATTAGCTTAGCTAAATGGTAACGCCGGTAAAACTGTGAACATGCAGTGTGCTAACACCCAATTTTTTTCTAGCGATTCTTTGCAAATTGTAACCTCCCTAGGTTTGGTTAGGTTAGATTATAGACAATTTCCTTTCGTGCGCTCCAATGGATTGTAGATTGTAGATGGGTCGTATAGGCTGAGAGACCTCTCGATCACTGCGACCTAGAAGATCTATTGTGATTACCCCTAGTTTTGGTCCTCTAACCCTAGACTTCTGATGAAGACTTCGATTTTCCTGACGGTTGACTTTTCCACTTCAGCAGGGGTGAGATAGACCTGTTCTAGGTGGTTCAGCCTTTGGCGGACTAATACTTCACATGAGCTAAGTATGTGTTCCGCGGTTTCGGTCGCATTGTTACAAAAGCGGCAAGTGTCAGTCTCCGCCAAGCCCATCTTTTTGAGGTGGTACCTCAGAGGGCCGTGTCCTGTGAGAAAGCCTGTGATAAGCTTTAGCTCTGGTTTGCTGAGGCTGAGTAGCTCTTTGGCTCGGTTCTGCGAATGGTTGATGAACCTTTTCGCTTGTCGTTGACCTGGAGTTGCTCTCCAGTAGGAGGAATTTTCAATTTCTTCCCTTTTCCCGAGTTCTCCCTTTAGGTGACATTTGCTTATTCCACAAAAAGGCTCAGGACCAAAAAGTGCAGATGCTGCACCTTTTTTTGCAAGGCGATCAGCTGCCTCATTTCCTTTGATTCCTTCATGCCCTGGAACCCACATAAGTGTGACTTTGTTGCCCTTTCCCAGTTGCATGAGTGTTTCAAAGCAGTCCCATGTAATCTTTGATGTGAAAACGAATGATTTTAGGGCTTTTAGTGCGGCTTGGCTGTCTGAGCAGGGATAAAAAAGCCGTCAAATCAAAATTTCATTTTCAAATGTCACAATTTTATTTTTTGTAACTGAATCGAAAGAGTTGTTCCATCAAGTAACAATGCAACCACAGTAAATACATACAATGTACAATTTAGTGCAACACTATCGTCTTCATTACTAAGTATTTCCTTCAGGTGCCATCTTGAATTTTCAAATTATGACTGCAAGTTCCTATGTCTCAACTTCAGAAATCCCCCGACATAAATTTTCTGTCGGATCTTCAGGGTCATAGAAATTATAAATTCGACCGCCATCGAAAGCGTCATATTAAAATCTCAAATTTTGACTGAAAATTCGTGTATCTCAATCTCAAAATCCCATAAATTTCGATTGGTTAACTGAAAACGTGAAAATTAGCAAAAAAAAATTCATCATTCAAAAAACATTCTATTCAGAGGCGAGCTATTGACCTGGTTGGTGATGCTACAGTCATAAGTTCCACGAAATTGTTTGAAAACCGCAGTTAAGTCGGCGACCTTCCACTTTTCTACAGAAACTACCATGGAAAATGT